CACACACACACACACACAATCGATAACGTCTGATGGAAACGACGGACCCGCACGTTTTACATGATGTGAAGTGAGAAATGAGGTGAGATATCACAAAAAACAAGTAAGATTTGCAGGCATGGACTTGGCTCATCAGTATCTGGTTGTGGTATAAAAATGGGCTCCTCTGCCTGCGCCAGACCATCCTCCTATACTGAGGAGAGAGAGAGAGAGAAAAGACGAGAAGAGAGAGAGAGAGAGAGAGAGGAGAGAGAGAAAGAGAGAGAGACGCAGTGATACAGAGACAGTGAGGGATGCACAGGCTCAAAGTGAGGCGAGAAGTCCTGAGGTTCCCTGTTTTCTCTCACTGCTTCCTCTCGTTTTAGGATAAAACATTAAAAGACAAACAGACTGACTTTACCACAGACACTCAACGAGGAAGTTCTCTTTTGGACACTTTTTGGATAGTCTGCGCCTGCCGACGTCCGACTTGTCCGCGTTTTTAAGGTTTCCAGACAACAACTCCTCTATTTATTTATTTTTTAACTTGCTACAGCTCAAGTCGCCGGGGTTTCTGTGCGCAATGGCTGGTCTTTTATACCTCCTGTCTGCCCGTCTCCACACGGAGGGATTCGGGATGCTTGGCTAAAAAAAAAGAAAGAAGAAAGAAATAAAGAAAAATACAACTCCCGTGGATCCGAGAGTGACCTCTGGAGTCTGGATACTGGGACGATTTCAGTAGCCCCTTTCATGAAACCTCCTTACCTTCTCATTTTGGGGATATATTTAGGAGTCTGTGCAGCGTTTTAGTTCAGAGCGCACTTGTGTCTGAGTCAACGATGTGCGCCGGTGGGAAATACTGTGTGTTTTTGTTCCTGTTTGGAAGTATCCTGTCGGACCCGGGAACCACAAACCAAGGTGAGTTGAAAGAGCGTCTCTGCATAACAACATACTTAGAATATGGGTGTATGCACCAAATCTGACCATTTTAAAGTCTTTACCAACAGATCTGATTCTACGCACATGCACTGGTAACATGTTTGGCAATGCGTATCATGTATTGTCTGCCATCACAACAATGTTGAATCTATTCACTTAAACAAAAGAAACATGGTTAAATAGTGTCATGCCTTCATTTGTCTTACATGAGTGCCCTAATGAGTGTACTATTCATCATGGCACCCATGTAATCTTTTCACAAGTGATACCAGACTATTATTAGTAATAGTAATTGTTTCAATAATGTGTTTTACTTAACGTGTTTTGCTCTTTCCCTCCAATGTCAATTTGTTGGTTGAACCTATACATATGTTTGTCCCTTGGTTTTAACATGAGATAACAGTGGATCTATTTGTCAAACAACAACATCAGAAACAAATGTAAACATACATTTACAGCCTCAAAATGCATACAGATATCAATTTGTTGGATGAGCTAAGATATTTCAGTCTTGGTTTCAGTAGATGTATCTGTTGTCCCAACACACACCTTTGAAAGACTGGACATGGAACTGATAATAATGTTTTGGTTGTTTTTTACACACACTAATTTTGGCTCTGTATTTAACAAAGAATATAAAAAAAAGATATGGCCTCCAATGGAAATTGGTAATTTGTTGTTTGAAGATATTTTAGTGTCTATCTTTGGCAGTGAAAATTTAATTTTACAGTGTCAATGTACAATATAATGAAATGAAATATATCACTCCAACACTGAATCATTTCATTGACCAAAGAGAACAGATTTACACATTTACATCCTCAAAATTTATGCAAATATGTCAGTGTTATGGTAGAGCTATCTTTATTTCAATCATTGATACTGTGAAAGACTGAACATAAATGTTTTAGCTTACTTTTTTATCCAACTCCATCTGAAATTACATAAACTTGGCTGTGAATTTCTGCAAAAATCGTAAAAATGGTGATGCAACTCATGCTTTAGTAGCTATGTTTTTAAGCACACTTTTAGAATAGATTCGTTTTGCTCAGAATTTTAAAATGAATACACATTTAAATTTACAGCATCAATTTGCAAAAATTCATACCTAGGTTCAATGCGCTGCAAGGCCTACAGGCAGGAGCTTCATCCTGACATTATACTTCACCTCCAAAGTGCACAGAAATACTGTCACAGCTATAGGGACCACAAAGTGTAATGTCAGCCTCTGGTATACTCAGCTATACTGATGCTTTTGAGTTGATTTCTGCCTCTCTGTCTTCTATGATGAGTTCACACATTTGTTGATGAAAATATAACGAATCTCAGCCCATACAGTCCCAAGAGCATTTCAGACTTGTGTTATTCTTACAGTAGGAAACATGTGAATTTTATTATATGAGGCCAGTGGTTGACACTGAATGTATCAAAATAATTTCCCAGTTTTCAAAATCCATTTCCAGTCACACAGGCATGGTGTGCAGTCGCATATGGTTGAGAAACACAGGACATAATAATGTTATCTCCCTTCAGTTGTACTCATAAGTCAAATGGGTAAATGGCTGCCATAATGTAATCGCTTCTTGACATCTTCCACTTCGCACATTTGCAGAGGTCAGTTTAATATTCCTTCCTGAATGTTTAATGTTTAGGATATACATTTTCAAAGAGGACAGGAGCCCTTTCACTAGCCAAATGTCAAAGTCTCTTTCACTTCATTTTTTCTGTGTCTTGTGTGTGTGTGTATGTATGTGTGTGTGTTCAGTTTGCCCCACAGGATGCCTGTCTGCCTACGGTGGTGACAGGCAAGAAGGGGAGGGATGCACACAGGGGAAACTTGAAAAAAAGGACAACATGAGGAGTTTAATATACAGTGGGAATGTATGTAGCCAGGAGCAATTTATCTGAGTGAGTTTTCTAATGAATGTGAATAACTTGTGTAAGTCCTCTCAGACTAAGCAAAAGCGAGAGAGATGAGATCTAATCATTATATAACAGTGTATTTATTGGTCATTTAGTTGTTTTTGTGGGCAATATAAAGTAAATTTGGTATAAGTTATGTCAGAAATGATAGTAAATTAAAAAAGTAAATAGTCTAAAGTTACCATGTCTATGTGATGTCTTAATATCGACCTGGCCACCTTAGTTACTGTTGCTATACTATATTAAAATACTAAATTATACTGGCTGAGGCTAGGTAGACATCTAATTAAGCTTTGTTTTTCAACTAACTTGTTTCTTAAGGAGATTCTTGTAAAAGTGCTCTTGTGTGTAGGATTCAGTGGCATCTAGCTCTGAATTTGCAGATTACAACCAACTGAATACCGCTCGCCTTCCAAGTGTGTAGGCTCCAAAAAATGTGAAAGGTGCTAGTTAGAGCTAGTGTTTGGTTTGTCCGTTCTGTGCTACTGTAGTAACATGGTGGTTCGACATGGAGGCCTCCCTAGAAGAAGACCCACTCCTTCTGGCTCATTCTAAGATTACAAAAACACAACAACACATTTTGAGGTGATTATATACTAGTGAAAACATACCTATTAATATTATATTCCATATCTGCAAATAGATCCTCCTTATAGATTGCATAAATAAAAATGAATGTAGTCTCCATGACGTCACCCATTGGTTTGCCATTTTGGCAGTCCTGACTCTGCCGGCTCCCAGCTAATCCAAAAATGGACAAAGGTTGTGGAGTGCGGGTAGAGCTGAGGCAGGCCGATTGAAGCTTGGTTGCTGAAAACAGACACCTGTGATGGTGCCCCCATCAATCAAAGCAGCCATTCCCTTAATTATGCATAACTTTAAGCCTTAAGCCTTCTTTTATCTTCTTTACATAACTTGTGCAGATGCTTAGCTTAGGCTTACTTTTTTATAATTTCAAACAATATGATTTCACTTTTAACATGAAAAGAGAAAAGAATGACCAATGTATCTGGCAAAATGCTAACATTTCCAATAGCATCCAGGGCTCCCACACACTCATGAAATACTACACAGTGAATGTGCTAGTTGTAATGGGGTTAGCTAATGATGTGCTTCTTGGCTTTGGTACACCTTTTGGGTTTGAACCACCGTCCAAACTCTGTAAAGTATGACTCTTATTAGAGCCCCATGGACACCGGTTCATCAGCATGTGGAGAAATCCAAAACTTAAAAAACAGACTTGCCATGCCTAGTTATGGATGTTGCACTACAATTGGATAATTGCTGCCTGAGGTAGCCATTTAGTGAATGGTCAACTGGTTGTCAAAACAGTCAAAAAATCGAAAGGTATTCACAGGCAAATTCTAACGTCTGAGAAGCTGTAATTAGCAAATATTTGGTATATTTCATTGGTAAATTTAATTTAATTGGTCAATTAACTGATCACTTCATTGACTAACACTTGAGCATTTATTTGTTAACTATATGTAATTTAAAAAGAGGAACTCTGTAACCATTTAATCCCAACACAACAGCAGCATTCAGGCAGATATTTTTTTGCTGCTTTTATGAGAGGATGCAGTATCATCTGTGTCATGATCAGGTGAATTAGACTCTGCTGTCAACTTTTATTATCATCTCATATAGAAAATAATGACTCTTCTTCTCCCAATGGGTTTCTGAAACCACATCCTGGAAACTGCAAAAAAATAAAAAAATAAAATATAAGGGCCCTTATAGAAGTGTCTGTCTCTCTGGGGTATCTCAGCCAAGGGCTTTTTTACTTGACTATTCTTACCCAAATACTTATAATTTAGGATTCCAACTTAATGTCTAGCTTTTGAGTATTCATCAGTCTCTTGCAGGAAAGATATATAAAAAACATTTGCCATTCTGCTCAAGCCCAGGTTGTAGTTAGGTGTCACCCACAGACATTTTCTGAAAAATACTGCTCAATAAAGCTGTGCACCTGCCAATAACGAAATCTGATTGTACTGTAGGTTGCTGAACTACTTGTTTATGGTAAAACCACACATGTGGTCCTACTGACTGAAGTTCATGCACTTTGTGAACACTAGACAACAAGATGTCTTGTATTTACTAAAAAAAATCACAATACGAAGTATCCACTGTATCCTGATATCTGTGTAACTGAAAATGAATACATATCCTTAAAGGAATAGTTTTACACAGGAAATATGCAACAATGATTAGCATAGCATAGCATAGAAACTGGTAGCAAGAGAAACATGCAGCCTAGTTCTCTCCAAAGTAAAAATATACCCTAACTAGCAGCTCCAAAGCTCACTAATCTGTGATCTGTGATGTGTTGTTTTGTTTAATCTGTGCATAAAAACACAAATTGTTGTATAAGTTGTGGTTTTACGGGTAGATAGCCAATCAGCATATTTCCCATAATGTCAAATTATTCCTTTCAGATTTCAAAACATTTTTGAAATAATCACTCAAACTATGCAGTATATATACAGCATTATGAAGTTCTTTCATTTTAGAATCAATTAAAGGTGCACTGCGGACTTTTCTTGTAAATAAACTAAAGTTATGTGCACATTCAGTGTTACTCACCAGAACACATTGTGTATATCCTTGAGGTCTAACAAGTTCAATTTATTTCGTTCCTCATGAAACATTTAATCCTGGATTGTTTCCATCCATGTTTACTAACTTGCAGTTTTCTTCTTACTAGCCTTTGTTAGCAAATTTTTCTGTTGCACAGGGTGAAAATATTGGCATTAATATGTATATGTATATGTATATATGTATATCATGCAGAGTTCATGGTACATGGTGATGTAGTTTGTAATTTTTTTTACACTTAGCAACCCCATCACTGTTCATTACGTTGTGACATTAATTAATTAATATAAATAGCTATATTCAGTTTCACATGCTACAAATGTTTTTGTTTAGTTTACAAAACTAGGCCTATATAAGCACTGTTAATACGATTAATAGATCAGCAACCTCATATCTACAGCACGGTCAACACCTCATGATTGTTTCTGTGCTTCAATGAGCTTCTAACTAGGTAGAAACATAGCTTACAGTGGTGCTTCCAGTGAGGGGAACCGGAGTGCTAAAAGCTACTGATTCGGGCAGTGACACTCATTTCAGCTTGAGGATTCAGTGTTAAAGATTTGTTTGTTCACTTACTGAACACCCTGCAGTATTGGTGAAAGTGTGCCAGTGACATATCACAAGAGAAACTGTTGCACTATTTGGAGTCAAATTTTTGGACCATTTATGCCCACCTTATTTTCTAGAATATGATCATTTCCCTGTGGTCATGGAAACTTGGAAAGGACAGTTGCAGATTATTATGCTTCCAGACACAATACCCAGACAAGAGTAATGTGATTTGGCCTCCTGATAAATACTCGTCTAAATGTGTGTGCGTGCTTTTAGTGAGAACATCTGTGTATCAAATTCAGCACTGTGGTCTTGGGTCATCTGTTATTTCCTGGCTCCAAAGGTAGTTGCAGAAATTTAATTATTTTATGACTACATTATTAT